TTGCTATTGGATCTCTCACATTTTATGAAAGATTTTGTAAAAGTTATTCGTAAATTGGTCTCTTCTGGAACCGAATGGTGTTTGCCTTCCAGTTCTTAGTGTCGATTCGGGCGTTCTAGTCCTTAGTTCATAGAATTTAGAACGCGGAGCCATCAGGCTTGTCAAAAGATGTACCAAAGACTAATATCCTCAAAGTATCGGCAACTACTTTATAGCAAGTTTTCTTCTGATCATAATGAGGTCATCTTACATCTGCATTCCAGTAACTTTTTCAATACAAAATGAAAAACCTTAATGACTAACAAAGGTGAAAAATCGAAGGTGTGAAAAACAAGTTGGTATGGCCTTTTGTGTGGTTGCAGTCTCCTTTCGTCGTATAGAAGTTGTTTTACCTTGTTTTCGCAACTTGGTCATATTGGTAGGAAAATATAAAGGAACACACCTAGTTCAAAGTCCATAGTATGCATGATAATTTACATAGTCGGACCGTGGACGTGTTACATTCCCAGATGTTTCACCGGCATCGTAGTCGGCATTGATTTAAGTGAATTTAGGTGACTCAAGTTCTTATTACAATTTACTGCAATTCTCCAAGTCGTCTTGCAGAATATTTTCTTTGTACCTGACGAACTTGCAATTAAAGCTGGATGGGAAACTTTCTCTTTTTTCATCAGCCTTGACTGAGTTCTTCACTTGTCGGATTTTTGCGTATATCGCCTTAGTTTTAAATTCATCTCTGTCAGGTCAGAATTGGATGTCTATTTTCACTTTTCGTCTTGCTCATTGTGCCAGCCAGCAGTGTTGGCTATATTAAGGAAACTTCTCCAAGTAATAAATACTAATGTAAGGGTAGGTTAGACTTATAATTCTATTCTACTCTCACTCTTTCAGGCATCCTTAATTTCGAATCCTTTCTTGCCCCATTATTTGTCTATTCCTCATTCTTGATGCCTCCGCACTTTCAACCTTTAGGGCTGGACCCAATTCTATGAATTCAACATGGCCGACCTTCGTGCTGCCGCTGATCTCCTTGACCGCCTCTTCCTCCCCCAGCCGTCGGGTAGCCAAGACGCTGCCTATCGGCCGACCGTCGGAAGCACTGACATATGGGCCTGGGTGCATGGCCTATTTCTTTTGGCCATTTACGGTGGTCGTGTGGAGAACCCATTCGACACTGACATCCTGGACGCATACTTGAGACAGATATTCAATGAGGCCCTCCTAACCAATCGTGAGCTGGGTCCGCTCCGACTGCCTTCGACGGCAAACCGCAAAGTGGGCAAGAAATTGGTTATCTTAACTTGCGTATGATCACATTTTAGGCATGAGGCAATTTAAAGTTTTTACAAGCATTTGTTGGAAAGTGCTTGAAATGTATACAAAGAGCAGTTCGTTCTCGACAAATCTCTTAACAATGTTTAGTTGACTTTCGTTTTGTGTGGAGTTTTGTAGATGCAATCCTTGAAATCCCGGATTTAGGGGGACTGAAAGACAAGCCATGGCTCGACGACTGCGCCAGAGTTAAAGTCCCGAAGAACATCAAAAGACAGACCACGAGGAGTCCGTCACCGGCTTCTGATGAGAATTACCAATTAAGGGAGTCATTGTGGACTGCAAGACACCATCTAATAGGGGCTACTTTAAGGAGCTAAGCTGCGAAATACCTGCTTGAAAAGGTCATAAATAACATGTAGATTTCTTTATTTGACATTTTATGAGTTATTTGCTTCATGCTCTGTCTTAGGATCGCCAAAAAATGATAGCCACTCTTCATCTGGGCACAAGGAAAAGTGGAGCCAACTCAAATAATTGTGGGAAAATTCAGCAGTCCGTCCTTCATCACTTTATGCGATCTAATGTGACTGGAACTGGATTTATGAATAGTTAAGAAACCTACTTAATCTGGATACAGACCTTTAATGGCCGATAAATATTTATCACACCTACAGGCCAACATCAAAGTGATATTTTAGAGGCCTTGTGAGCTGTGACCCATTGAGAACCATGGCTGTTTGGTGTAGTTGTACTGTCTTACAACCTGATTCGCTCGAGCCGGTTTCGAATCCTGCTGTAAGTGAGCTAATGAGATGGTATGTAGAGGTCAAAACTACTAATTAAAGTTAAGGCAAAGATCGGGCGATTATTTTCTGCGCATAACCTGTTTATTTAGAATGAAGGTTGTAAATAGCCAAATGCCATGCTCACCAAAACGAATATTTGTTTTATAAACTCCTTTACAAGCACTTAACTGTAGAAGAGTTGTACAATTAAAATCATCGGCCTTTGCTCTAAATTTATTACAGAATTCAACCAGGCCTGGAGGCATTATACAAAACATATTCTATATTATCAGTTTATTATTATTAGATAGCAAAACGTAATTTGAACTCGTTTTCGCAACTCTGGTAT